GTTACGCAATTAATTATATCATCACTTACATATAAATAACACAATTAAAAACATAATCTATTAATCTATATTACTCATTAATCTACATAAATATTCTATTTAGCATGTATCGTGCAATTACTGTTGTAGTGAAGGACATGTAAATATAATATTATAAGTTATGATTATAATATCATAATACAAGCGTTAACGTATGCATCGCATTAATTGTCTGCATACTCTCGTCTTAGACTTTATTAATTAAAGTGTTCGCGATATAGCAAAGTGCTCGAAAACCAACATCAAGCATGTTGTATGTCGTCTATAAAATATAGTCTTATATAATGTCGCATATTTCATATCATGTGCATGTATTATGTGCACATAATATGTAATATCCGGCGCCAGCACCTTATAAAAATTAACATAAAAAAACTGTACACTTAGATGTAACTGTGTGTGTGTGTGTGTTAGAATAGATTTATAAGTAATAAAAGAGTTAATTGTGTGTGTGTCATGTTTGCGCGTTAAAGTTAAAACAAAATAAAAATAAAAATAAATGGTCTTCTTACTAGTAGCATGATTACATATCATAATTTTTTTTTTTTAATATGATATATTTTTATATATATGTTAAATGTTTTCCAATAGTCCGAAAAAGAATACATCTACACGTAACATTAAAAATCAATTAAAATATTATTAAACTCGTAATACTTTTGTTCACATCTTCATAAATAATTGCTTTATCAGTTTTGTACATCAGTTAATATAAAATATTATTATTATTTATAATGCATATTTTTAGTATAGTAAAGAATTTGATTTAAGTAAAATAATTTATCTAACAAAATTTAATAATTAATTTACGCTGCATTTCTAATTATCTATGATAGATCTATCTATTTATCGTTTCATTCAATCTTATCGAATTGCTAAATTAATAGCGGAGTTTAGACATAAATTGTCGGCGTGAATAATTCATTAATATGTAGATATGCAGCTAATTGTCCTCTAAAGAATATTCAAAATCACACTTTATCGTTTTATCCCACATGAAAATGCTTTCATAGTAATACGTTTAAAAATAAATAAAGATTTGTAATAAGTCTTACTTTAATGTTTATTTCAACTTGCATTTAAATTAAGGATGCATGATTATTAAAATTGTCCTTTTTTTCAATTCACAAATTTACACACTTTTAATAATATGTTAAATACAATGTGTATCATTAGATGTCATCTTTTATATTATTTTATTAGCAACTAGCCATAGTTCGCACACGCGGACTTCCAGATTGTACGAATATTCAGGAAGAACCATGTTTTCGGCACGGAGATCGCGCGCGTACTGAAAATCCCAGCAACCACCCCCATCGACCCTCGCTGTTCACCCCCGTTCCAATACAGGCAATGTATACGTAATACGTGTAAAACGCATGGGCTGCATATTCGGATGGGACAAGACCAAGAATCCAATTATGACAATACCGCAAAATGTAGTATTTTTTTTACAAAATATTTTTGTTTATTAATTTGTGCTTATCATTTCTTTTTCGGGCAGAAAATATTGCCTTCACTGATACCTAACAAATAATAAATTTTTGAATGCAATAATAATTGCATAAAAATTATCGGCAACTATTTTAATAATTAAAATTCTTAACCAACTTGAACCACGGCTTCTAAAAACAATTCATCAAAGTTTTTTGTTAACGGGTAATTAAAAATAATTTATATATTATATAATGATAATTAAATAAATTATATTATATATTACAGTATGTGTGTGCATATAGATTATTATATAATAATTAAATATAATGACATATGTGTTATTTTCTTGAATATATTTTCTTAATTTAATATAGAAGTAGCATATATGCAATATAAGCTATTTTCTTAAATTAATTATTTAATTCAGTAAACTCAAAACTTCAAAAATTTACATTAAATTTAAATATGTTAATGTGCGTTTGATCGTGATTCGCGACTGTAACAATTGTACTCAGGGACAGGAATTTGTAAAAATTATACTACCCTTCTCTCACATCCTTCATTCGAAAAATATATACGTCACCTACTTTAGTTAACCGCGTTGATTGCATCAGTGATTCGAATATTAAACGCATCAGTTCACGCACTAGTTAATGAACTGCTCGCCGTTATAACTTGCTATAAATTAAATGAGAACTCTGCAATGGGAGACAGTATTTCTCTCTCTTTCGTGTAAAACGTTATATTCTTTGAAAAAAAAGATTTTTTTTTTTTTGCTTTTAATTTACTATCTATCTATTTTTAACTTAGTATCTCAATCATTTGCAATCATATTTTTCAAATTAGCTTCTATGATTGTATAATCCTTATTATTATACGTTATTAATATAAAAATATATAGTTATCGAGACAAATAGACATTTTTCAATTTCAATAAGACGTCAAATATATTTTAAACGATGATTGGTTCTCAACGATGATAGTTCTCTATCGAACTATTGCACAAGTAGTTGGATAGTCGGAAATCAATACTAGTACCCTGCTTAAAACTTCGTAAAATCCGATTACTACTGCGACTACATTGACAGTTATATACTTTCATATAAATAAATTGCATCAGAGCCTATACCTTTCTCTCTCTCTCTTTTTCTCTTTCTATCTATTTCTCTCTCTTTCTTTCAGTTAAAATCTTATAATCATATTTTGTAATCAAATGTCAGACTTTCTCATTCAAACTATGCAATTGGTTTTAATATCTTGTTTCTTTCTTATTTCATTATTTGTAAACGATCATCGTCATCTATATCTAATAATTTTTTGCATCACAACAAATAATCTAATATCGAAAAAGCTGTGTTATTTTGCCTGCGCTTTCGTAATCCTTCAGATTATGGAGATTATCTCCTTTAACAAAATGTATAAAAATTATATTATTAATATATATTGTTGATAATATTGAGGTTTATAATTCTATCGCCCTCTTTCATTTCAATTTATGCAAATATAAACATATAGTGATATTTCCAAATTTATTTGCTTGATCTTTACAATGCTAAATGACGATACAGCCACTGTGCTCCGTCATGATTAAGAAAGGTAATTTCAAGCATTTCTAGAACCTGATAAATCGATAGACAAAACGACTGACAAATAGATAAATGCATGAAAAATATTAAGGGTTTAATAATGTTTTAAAACTAATTAATCTTTTTATTTGCTATGGATAATTTTTATTTCTAAAAAAGAGAAAGAAAGCGATTGTTTCTGCAAAACAAATATTATTAAAAGCAGATTTATGGTCGTCATTGCACTAAAAGTTTAAACAGCAACATATTGTAAGCCAATAAAAACGTTATTAAAATTATTATGGGTGTAAACCATGAATAATACGACAAACACTATTTGATTCTATTTCACAGAATACGATATCACCGAACACCAAAATAAAATCTGTCTTTAATACTTCAGCATGATCGATAAAGTTCTCAACAATCTGACGTCAATTGATATTTATGTCAATATTATTAATAACTTTATTTCCTCTACATTTACATTTACATAAACTGTGAAAGTTGATAATGTATGAAAATAAGCCTTATTATTACCAACAATAAGAAAATGTAGAATGCTAAAAAACAATTAGTAACCTAAAGGATTACAAGAGAATGATGATAACAGTTTTCTTAATATTAGATTTTTTTTGCGATGCAAAGTATTATTAAGATGTATGCGACGACGATCGTTTTCTTCCTTGATATTCGAGACATGAATTTTATATAGCAATATAAACAGCAAAAAAAATATTTGTAAATATGCCTATTGAACTTTTAATATCGAGAGACAACCGTTATTTTTCAATCTATCTCTGATTTAGTTGTAGATCATTATATGATCGCGAAGGTCTTTCTAATCACGACGGTGATTACTCTCGAAATATAATAATCAAATAAATGAACTTTTACAATGGACGAACAAGATGAATGGACGATAAATGATACGATCGCTAATGAAAGCAAAAATTAAGAAATTTGCAATTGGTGTACACTGATATAATGGGCAATTATCCGAACTTAAAAACTCGCTCGATTTTCGTCGCCCGAAATTTTGATCTAAATATATGCCACAAAACTACTTAATAATATCACAATTTAACAAACAACACGCTATTACAAATAATCATATCTATTTAGCTCAATTACCTCTTTGTCGGCTTATTTATCTGAATATTATAGGAATATAGAGACTTTGCTTCTTTATGATATGTCCCGCCAAAGAAGAAAGAAGAAGTTGCGCACAATGCGCAGGCGGACAAACATTTAAAAAAAAATTTTCCTGATTTGTCCTGATTGGTCACTCAAATGGCAAAAAAAATAAATACAAAATAAAAATACCTAGTTAAAAATAGTTATTTATTAATAATTTCGAGAAAAAGGGGGAAAAAAAATAAAACCTCGGAATATTAAAAATTTTGTTTACACATTATTATAAAATGTATATAATATTGCAGATATGTGTAAATATTTCTTTTTGCATTATGTACGTACTTGAAATAACCTAACGCGTCTCGTAGATACGAAATAGATTCATTCAATATATAAAAATATCATAAAAAGTTATTGCATAATTTGTAACGCTTAATTAATAACATACAAATTTTTATAAATATATGACAAAAGCACATAGACACTGCGAAATTTTCATAAGTCTTAGATATTCTTTCTTATATAATCTGAATTATATATATAATATATATATATATATATATTGAGTGAGAAACTGTATTTTTTAATATAATTCAAACAATTAAAATGCTTACTCTTTAATGAAATGATATCTTTAATTATAATTCTAAAAAATACAATGATATAACATATTTAGAAGTTAATCTAATGATAATAATATGACCCACATATGCCATTGTCATGTAATGTAATAATGTTGATCTTTTTAATATTGACATCAATATTAATTGACGTCACATTGTGCATTTTGTTTTAAAAACCTGAATTTGACAAATATAATACAAGGCAGAACCATTTTCATATATTGTAAAACTTTTTATTACATTTGATAAATATAATTTCTAAAAGTGAAGTACTTTATATAATATATCATGTGTCTAAATGTATACTTCCATTATCAGTTTCGTCCATAATATTTTCAAAAGCAAAACTAGGCTTTTTTATTTGATTGCATATTTGTAAAGGCTTCTTGCTTTTTTCTTTTTGTATCCTTTGATTAATTGGAACATACAATTCACTTATATCACCAAATTCCTCATCAGAATCATCTAATTTCTGTTTTTCATCCTCAGTATAAACATAATTTTCTTTGTTTGTCAAGGATTTAAATTCGTCAATTTTATATTCTAAACAATTTTCCACATTTTCTTGGCTAGTGGATTCCATGGACTGCCAATTTCTTACACTAAATTGAAAGATTCGTTTGCTACATATATTGTCTATTATATTTGTCACATTTAAATCATTGTCTTCATTTTCGCTCGTGAAATCATCGGGAGAAAGTTCATTAAACATTCTATCAATTGTATTATTCAATTTTGAATCTATCTTGTCCATCTCTAAAACTTTTTTGAATTGTGGCCCACATTTTATTTGTTTTAGGTCCATCGCAATGTTTTCAGGCACATTTTTTACTTTTAATTTATTTACGTTACTCGAAGTACTTTCCTGCTTCGATCTTTTTGGTGTTATTGCCATGTTCTCAAAAGACTCTTCTAGTGACATAGAACGATTTCTAGATATAAAATCTTCAATCTTCCTATTATTTTTGCTTTCTAATGTTTTCTTTTTTCCTTTCTTTTGTCTTGATTTTGCGATATCTGTTATTCCAATATTTTCTTCTGTATTTGTTGTAATCTTCTTTCTGCGAGAGTTAGCAGTTCGTTTCTTCGTTTTTACGTTTCTAATACTTTCGAATGCTTCAACTAATTCTGGATAACATTTTAAAACCAAATCTTGTGGCTCAATACTTGTTAGTAAGCTCTCTTCTACATCATTATTATCATCTGGCTCTATTTGCTCTTTGTATTCTTTTAACATTTCTAATACACTATGTTCCTTCTTCCAAATAATTTCATAACTAGCTGTAGATCTGATATTACGTATCTTTTTTATTTGATCAGGAATAAATAAGTTTGATATAGACAAACGTTCATCAAGTGTAAAATCTGGCAGATGTAACAGTTGCCATCTAGTAGTTAATGTGAATATTTTTTCAAAGGCATATTGTGGTTCCCAACATAGATGTTTTTCCATAAAATCCTAATACAAAAAGATTATTATATTTAATCATACACTTAACAAGGAGACTATTTTACAATATGTAACATTTAATTAATTACTATATGTAACAATATATTTACAACAAATCGATTGACTTGAGGTTGCTTCCATTCTATATCCAACTTAGTTGGAACCATATCTTTTTTGTTAAGAAATTCGTCTATTAATTCTTGATTAGGGAAATTTTCATCATGGAGTGCCTTTCTTCTCAACGATATTTCATTTAATATCAGTGCTCTCTTTTCTCTACATACATTACAAAGTACAATATATTTAATTATTAAATACAATATACATCTCAAAGATACGTAATGCACTAATAAATTACCTGAAGTTATCATTACATTTCCCAATAGTACCACAATCAGCACAACCTGATTTTTTATGTTTTTGTAGTTTTCCTAGATGACCACATGCGGTGCATAAATCAGGATTTAATAAATCTGATTCAATTCTATTTAAACTTGTGTCAGTTTTCCAATTTTGAATCCTGAAAAGAGAGAAGAGAAAAATGGTTTAGTTATTAAATAAATAATAAATAAATTTGATAAGTTCAATTAATATATAATCTTTTAATGCATCTAATATTCCAACCTTTGTAAAACGTTTTCATCATCTACAGTCTTGAAAAATTTTAAAGCCGCCTCCTTTCCAACACCATTCACTCCTTCATTATAATCACAACCGCACAATAAGGCCAATGCTATCATTTTATTTCGTCCTATATTCAATGTCTTTTCTATCTTTTCCATATTGTACACATCTACAGAACCAGCTGTAGCTCCACGGTTTCCTTGACTACTTGTACAAAAGTTTCTGTATACTATTTTTGCGCCATATAAGAAGCAATCACTGTCTTGGCTTATACATCCATCTACAAGCTAAAAACATATTTCTTTTTTATAATTAAGGTAATCAGTAATTTGTTTATCAAAGAAAATTAATTTATAAATGTACCCCATCCTCATTTAAATATGCACACATAGCTTCTGCTTCACCGTGGCTCTGTACACAAGCAATACCCATAAATTTTAACATTTCTCTACATTCATTTAAAACTCGCTTAAACTGTGTCCTCCCTCCTTTCTTAGCAGCTTTCTTTCTTTCCTGAAATCCATTACGAACATCATTTCTTCGTGCAATAGTTTTATGTTTTAAAGTAGGGGCTTTTCCTTCTAATACAAATATTGGAGATATTCCTTGCATAAGAAGAAATGCTGTACGAAAGTATAGATTTCTGCAACACAATTTACAAATCAATAAATAATATCTCTTTAACCGTAACATAAATTTAAAAAAGTATACTGTGTATTAATATTATGTGCTCTATTTTTCGATCTAAGAAATTATATGGATAAATTTACCTGAGATACATCTTTGGTTGTACTGCATTGTCAACGATCGTTTGACTATCAACGACCCATCCGCTTAAATCAATCGCAATAGTCTTTCCCTGTAACTCATACAGCGGTTTTCTCTCGCATAAAGGCGATAAAACATTCCATAAATCCTTCACACCCATTTCGTATCACGTATTTTGAATTGAATTTGTCAACGTAAGTTTCCAAGAGAAATTTTCAACATCGCCATCTCATATAGCTAATACAGTTACAGTGGTCGTGTTGTCGTTACATTTTTACTTGCAGTGGATAAAAGTGATTACATTTTTCGATCGTCTGAAGCAATCAAAAGTGAATGCTCGAACGAGAGAGTAAACAATTTTATAATTATTATGACAATTCATCAGTTTCTTATAACAGAGCATCGTTTGAAGAAATTTGCAAATATTTTATAAAAATGTTGTGTTTGAAATGACATCCAAAGTTTATTAATTAGTCATTTATATTACGTCTTTAAAAAGTTGTATCTTTTTATTTATAGCACAAATCCCCGCTATTTAGGATCAGTTGAATGAAAATGGGAAGGGAGCTGATTTGCAATGGAAGAAAAGATTTGCATATGCGAAAATAGAACGTCTTCATTGTAACCACACAAACAATCTTTATAACCTAACTTGAGAAGCAGAGACTCTATAAGAGATTTTATATAATTGACTTTATGAACGAAATTAGCATTAACAATAAGATGATTGATAAAAACACCAGCGGCAATATTCTGCTACCGGCAGAAAAACTACCAGAATGTTGGAATCAAGAAGAAAGAATGAGTGCATTGTTCTCACCGTTTCGCAGTAAATCTGCCAATCCACAAGATTGGATTTCTAAATACAAATTTTGGCATGATTTGATATATGAATGGCTGAAGTATAACATGCAATGCAGTTTTTCTATCACTGATTTAAATGAAGTTTTTAAAAGAAAAGGTTGTACACCTCTTTGTCTGGTTACTGTGATTGAAGAGCTTGTCAGGTATTTGATTGATTTACTTCAGTTATTATTAATCAATTATATGATTTGATTGACTAATCATTAATCAATGATTGTTTTTATTATAATAAAAATAATTATTTGTTTATATATGTGTTGTCAATACAAAAAGATATATTACTTAATTTGATACGCTCTTTAATGTTATGTGTTATATCTTAATATATGTATTTTATAAAATTTTCCAGAAATAATGAAATAATTCAAGAGACTGATTTTTTTCAAGAATCATGTAAAACATGGACAGCATGGTCAATTGATATATTTATTAAAAAACCAATTAGCTGGTCTTTCTCTAAAGTAAAGAATTATATAGTAGGCCAGAATGTAAATAATACAGAAATAAGATACATACACTTGCGAATTGTTCGGGAATTGGGTGATATTATTCTTTCCATTGCTGACATTAAGAAAGATAATATATTATTCCCGATCTCTGAAATAGTGGAATATTGTGAGAATAAAACTAAGAAACATATTTCAGAGAATACAGTGAGATTAGTGTTGGAGTGGTTAAGGCATAGAAAAAAGATTACTGTCAGAAAAAATTTTGATTCACATAGTGAATTATTGGTTAAAATTTGTACACAAACAGTAAATGAAATTACGGAAGTAGAAGAAGGCATATATAAACTGATTAAGCAAGAAAAGGAACTGATCAAAGAGATAGAACTTATAGAGCAAGAGAAGCTTAATATTATCAACGAAGCAAAATCATATTTGGCAAAAGGATTGCGTCAGATGGCAAAGACACGTTTAAGAAGAAAGATGGAATTGGAAAAGACCATAGAAAAACGTGCGCAAACTCTTACAAACCTACGCACTCTGATCACCAATATTGAAGATGCGCATTCTAATTTCACTGTATTGTCTGCTTACAAGACTGGATCTGATATATTGAAGAAAATAAAACCAGATGGTTTAACAGAACATGATGTTAGAGACATTATGGACGATATTAATGAGGTAAGCTATTAATATGGATTATTTATAAATGGTTATAACAAAAAAAAATTAATATCTATTATTTGCTGACTAGGTTTTAGAAGAGAAACAAGAAATAGACTCAGTTTTATCTGAGACGTTGAACCTCACAGACTCGGATGCCGAGTTGGAAAAGGAATTAGCAGAACTATTGAATACAGACAACGTAGATGATTCTAATACAGTTTCTGAATCAAATCCAGAAATTGAAAAAATTGAACAACGTTTGAAAGACTTGCGCATGGAAGGTAAATATTACGAAATTTAATATCATATTTCATATAAACTAATGAGATATTTATAATATAGGTATAGATTCACCTGGCAAGAATAGATCTGTATTGCCAACTGTGCTATCCTATAAGGAAAAGGCATTAAAGGAATCCTAATATTTATTAATTGCAACAATGAAGCATGTATATAATTGTATACTAACACCATAGAATCACTTGTATTCTTTTAAATATTTTACTGCATCTATTGTGTCACATAATAAAAAATATATACATGTATATTATGTATGAAGAGGATAAAAACGCGCAACTCTGAAGATTTTTATCAAAACTGTTTTGTAACTTAGTATATTTGAAAAGTTAAAATTAAAGATATATGTAGCAACCGGATTTATGTGTATTTCTATTTATTTTTTACATATATTTCCTGTCTGATTACCTTGAAATTTGACAATTTGTATTACATTTTGTATCCAATCAATGTGGCTGGATATTTGTGTATATAAAGTATACAAATTATTGTTGCAATGGTAACTTCCACCTTGTTGTATCGTACCAAGAGAAACGCTAACAATACCTCTGAGATGCCATAGACCATTGGTCTGAAAGACTAATCCACCGCCACTGTCACCATCACAAACAGAAGAACCTGAAATATATTGCTTATAATGCTTATGACTAAAAAGTTATCCTATTTCTTTTTTGCATCTTTACAAGACAATCATTTTTATAGATTAAAAAATAATTACTCTTTCTTTCTTGTAATTTTATATAAAATTAAAAAACTTAATTATATATATATCATTAATATATTCTTGATTATTTTTATGGAAAAATGTAGTATTACATTGACTAATATTAGTTGTTCTTTCACTAACCATTTGTATAGCCTGCACAAAACTTATCAGGAGTAAGATATTGTTGTGTATTGACATTTTGGCTTGCAGAATTGCATTGACTGAATGGAATATATGGTACTGTCAAAGTCTGTAAGATTGCACTGGAATTACCATCTGCGGTTCTACCAAATCCCGCCACTTTTCCCACTGCGCCTGCTTCCAACACTCTTCTATCGCTGAAAAGATCTATGCATACAGGAACTAACGTAGCTGACAATACAAACGGTTCGACGAGTTCTAATATCGCGATATCCCCAATATAATTTCCTGTCAATCCTAGATAACCACATATAGTATAAATATGTTTCACCTGCAAGAGAAAGCACATATAGGCTGCGTTCCGTTTCATGCATGATGCGCATAATGCATAACTTATCCTTATTTAACATTCGGTGAACAACAAAGATAAGTAATGCATCATGCGCATCATGCATGAAACGGAACGCAGCCATAAACAATTAATATGTACAAACTGACAGTATCGCATATAGATTAATTGTGTTACATATGAACTTACAAACCTGATTGTTTTTAACATTTGGAGAGGGATAATCATAATCGCGGAAGATATTTCCTGTTGCTATGTAAAACTTCTTCGGATCCATCACTTGGCTAGTTTTTTGATCGTATATGCAATGAGCTGCTGTTATCAAAAGATTCTCTTGAATGATAGATGCTCCACAACGGAATTCCTTTGGCTTGTCATGTGAGACATCGCGATACATTGAGGCATGCCATGGAAATTCCGTGATATTAGCTTGATAACCGCCTACAATGAGCGGTGTAACATTGGAAGGCGGTATACCGCATACTATAACAAATATTTCATTGGGAGAAGTTTTAGCGTGATAAGAAAAAAGAGCGCATTGAGCATTTACAATTATGCAAAAGGAGATAATTCACAATAATTAATTGTAATTTTATCGCATATCACTATGATTGTATGCAGTTCTGCAATTAATAGGATGGGAAAAAGAAATTGGAATTAATGTTGTATTTATAAAACATTTAAATAAATTTATTAAATATACTTTGCTTAATTTAATATAATTTTATACATATATATATATATATGTATGTATATAAATTTTTGTGCATTACTAGAAAAATAGAGTATATTTTAATAATACCTTATTAAAGCTTTAGTTCATTAGGAAATAATTTTAAATTATAACTTAAATAGAAATTATAATACATAAGAAAACACTTGTGTGAATTATCTCAATAAGAATGATGACATAATATATGGTTATTATATATCCTAATTACAGAAATAAAATTATTTAGAAATTATTACTTATAATTTATCACTATTTTTCATAATCTTAAGATCATGTCCAAGACTTTTCTGTTGCTAAATCATTGCTTGATGTTGGTATCCTAATATCTATATCCGGATATTTTGAATTCTTAACATTTGTATGTATAATGACTCTATCATTCAAAATTTCAATAAATGTTGCATTATTTCTATCTAAAGTGGTGTGCAACAAAAGATTATTATTAAAATAAATATTTATTGTGGGCAGACCTGGAGTACATCGTATAGGTTCTGGCTCCCATTGACCATTCGCATTACATATTACAGAATCCCTTTGTGTTGAAAATACTTGATTGGTTTCAGGTTGATAACCGTTTTGGCAGGACAATTCCGCCCTTGTTCTAGGTAAAACTGGAGAATCACAAGATACCCAGTTACCATTGTATGTACACTCAGCCGTAATTGATGCTGAACTTAAAGCTTTGCATCTAATTTCTATCAAAAAATATTTTAAATACCTAATTAATGCATAATCACACATACAATGCCTGTCACATTAAAATACTTCAACATTATGAATATCATACTTTCAAAAATACTTTTTCTTCTGTATGTTTTCTCAAATATTTATATAAATTCTACAAATATATAATTATTATTCTCATACCTGTACAAACTGGTATATTAACCCATTTTCCTTCAACATTGCAGATTACATCGGTAGAACCTCTTATCTTATATCCTTCATCACAAGAGTAAATTAGATAAGATCCTGGTCTCAAGTCCACTCCTTGCGAATCACAATCCTGTCCAGTGTTTGAGCATTGCGATCGAGGCAACTTCCAGTGACCGTTTTGCGGTTGTGATGGAGTTTTGCAAGTTTTTATGCCAGGTGATACAGTAGAACTTGAAGACTGTACTGGTGATCGTTCTGTTGTTGTTCCTGGTTGCACCGTCGGTACCCATCCGGTTCCGCCACACAATCTTGGATCCTCGTCCGATCCATCGGCACAATCGATTACTTCGTTACATCGTAGATCACCGTCGATGCAAGCTCCATAAGCGCAACGGAAAACTGTCGACGAACAACTGCAAAGAAATTATCGATTGAAAAAATATTTGTTTCCCATATTTGAGACAGAATTAGTAAAAAAAAGATTGTTCTCTTACATCAATGACCCGCATCTTGCAGATACCTCGTCGGAACCGTCCACGCAGTTTCTATTCCCATCACACACATCAAACTGACTAATGCATTGCCCGTTGTCGCACAAAAATTGATCTACTTTGCATCGCACAGATCTTGTTGTTTGATTATGGTTTTCACTCGTTCTCGTACACTGGGGTTGCGTTTCGTCGCTATTGTCGACACAGTCCTGGACGCCGTTACAGACGGCGTCTCCGTTTACACATGCGCCGTATTTACACCGAAAAGCATAATGAGGACACAGAATCTCCGGTTTCAAACATTCGGCCTGTGTCTCGTCCGACGAATCCTTACAATTCGCTTTGCCATCGCATAATAAATCGCTCGCTATACATTCTCCATTGTGACATTGGAATCTCTCAAGCCTGTTTGAACAATGAAATAAATGCATTGAATATTTATTTCTTTGAACATATTATTATATGTCGAAGTGACACTTTTATTATTATATAACGCATAAACTCACCCGCAGTCATTAGTTTGTGCATACCCGGAACTAATATACGCTATGAAAAGTCCAGGAAACAATTTTATTAGATTATAAAAATTTGATCTTTTTAATTATATATATACATTGCTTATTGCACGTGTTTGTTGTATAATACACGCAAACACACATGTATAAATCGAGAAGTTACATTTTATAAAATTATTTTAATTATTATTAGAATTTTTCCAATAATATGCTCGTGAAAGACCTTCTGTTTAATGATCATAATTTTTTTTTTTTTTTTATGACGAAATCAATCAATTAAATTTATATTTAATTAAAATTTACGATTACAATAATTAGTCGATTCGTATCTTAATTGGCTAACAATAAAGAAAACTTTAATAAGCGCGGCATGCACGAAACACGCATATAAGAGATGCATACGTCACATATTCTTGTATGTTTTTCTTCATTTATTATCTACCAATATATATAAACATATAGATGCTTCTACTCGGAGTTCAAGGCCACCAAACTGGTTTTTGAAACTTGCTGAGATTACGACGATGCTTCGCAAATCTTTTAGACTAGGATGTTGCAGATATTTAATTATCATGAAAGAGATGAGTTTAGCGCATATGGTAGCAAATTCGCCTTAATAAATGCAAAATAAATAGGAATAAATATAAAAATTTTTTATTGTCTCTAATGCACAGAAAACTATTCAATCAATTAATTCATCGATTAATTAAAATTAAAGTATGCAAACGATATAATTTCGTAGATTATACAAGCGAAATTAAATAATTTTGAAATATATTTAACATTTTCTTAAAAAAAAAAATATATATATATATATATATATGTTCATTTTCTCAAACATACATATCGCGTTATCTATTATTAATATGATTTCATTATTATGGAATGCCTGAAATCAGAGTTCACTAAATGAAAACATAAGATAAAATGTCAATCGCGGCACCAGTGAAAAAAACAACTATATATTTTTTTGCATTTTCACGATTATTTTATCAGTAATATGCTTCAAAAATATTTAATAATGACAGCATCCACTTAATTGTAAATATTTCTCGTAAATCTAATATTAATGTAATTAAATTTTTTTTTATATTTTGTGTTATTATATGCTAATAAATAAAAAACTCCAAGAAAAAAAAAATTAAAAAATAATTTCTTTGAAAAATTATTGTTTTACAGTTACAGTTCCGTAATATTCTTACTTTCATAAATGTGTCATAATATAATTCTTACCATAAACAATCGTTAGTAGCGCAGAAAGCTGCTTAATCCGCATGATAAAGCACTGCGTGACGAAAGACTGACGATTTCTCGATCCGCGCCTTCTTATAACTCGACGCTCAATCACTAACTGCGATCATCTGCTAGATAGATCTACCAGTTATTACAAGACTGGGATAACTTGGGGATAACCCAATGAAGCAAAACGTGCACGTCATCTCTGTGTGTGCGTATACACAGAGATACGGGGATGCACGGGGAAAGTACGTACATGTGATCGCACATGTTACAAACAAATCAACATAAATGCAACGATGGCATATGTGAGCATCCTCACAATTCAGTTCAAAAAACTTGTATCTAAGCGATATATAGATATCAGAATGCGCGATTAAAGAATTATTGCTGTTTGTATAAAATTATTTAAAAACTAAAAGAAATTATAATTATACTTATATTAATTACAAATTATACTTACACAAAATATATTTATACAAAATTATAATTTTATAGTCTTGAATGAAAAGTACTCGAAAATTTCTTGTAATAAATAAAAATATTCGTTTCTTTTTGGATATTTTAATATATTTGATACAGAGACAAAGCTATGTATATTTTATATTTACATATTATTGTCCACAGCTTCTAGTTTTTCATCATCTTCAACAAGCTCTTCTTTGTTATTAAATGAATAGAAGGGAAGACCTGCTATCCATTTTAATGTTCTATATAACATTGATTAAGGTAAATAGAAGAAAATTTTGAGTGTAAACAAAATAAAATAAAAATTTATTATGCAAAAAGTATTATTCATCTCTAAAAGGATACGTTTGTTCTGAAATCTCGGTATCCATCATATGTTTCAAAATATATTCCTTTTGAAACTTTTCTACTTCTTCTTCACA